TTTTTTAAGATCGCATTGGGATAATATTAAGTGTGGGTATATCCAAGGGATTGTTTTTTACCATTTAAGCTTGCCAAGGCTCCTGGAAAAGCTGGAAAACTAAAAAAAAAAACCAGGTAGAATAAGAACACAAGCCGACTCTCTGGTTCTTCTGGTTCCTCTCGGCGACGCCCGATGCGTGCGCCGGCAGTGGGGGAGTGTGCGCGCGCGTGTGTGAGATGAGGATTGTGGCAGGCTGGCTGCTGCTGATGTGGGCAAGTGTGCTCTGTGTGCGGCGCTGCGCTGGCGTGCGATGCGCGCGTGCTGTGCGCGTGTGCGTGTTGGGATCGCGCGTGAGTCTGCGTGTGCTGCGCGCGCGCCGGTGTGTGCTGTGTGCTGTGCTCTGCTGTGCGCCCTGTTTGTGTAGCTGTGAGGCGCAGGCTTGGCTGGCAGGGCTGCGCGGTGGGCTGCGGCGCGCTGCGGGTGGTCGCGCGCCTGCCTGATGGTGTACGGCGGCCGCGCAGCCCGCCCGACCGGGTCGTCGGCGGCCCAGGGCGCGAGCATGCGGACTGCGCTGCATGTGAGGCTGCTGCGCGGCTGGCGCGTATGTTTCCGTGCGGTGAGGGACGCGCGTATGTGTTCACGCTGCGGGCGCGGGCGGGCGCGGGGGGCGGCGTGGTCTCACCGCGGTCCGACGTCGGTTGGTCTTCGGCGTGACGAGGGCGGGCACGCAAGAGGCCTTGCCGCCATTCGCGTTGCCGCGAAGGAAAAAGATTACGCACGTTCGCCGAGCGGAGCTGGGAAGAGGACCGCCGCAAGCGGCGTGGCGTGGAGCGGTTGTGCATCCCTCCGGGGGCCCCTCTGCGCCGGGGAGGCGTTGTTGGAGGCTAGGACGCAAGCGTCCGTGGCAAGCGCCTTTGGCAGAAAAAGAAGTTGAACGCCGACCTAGGAGCTCCCGCACGCGCTGGCGCGAGTCGGCGGTTTGGCTGTAGAGCCTCTACAACAAACTCTACAGCAAAATCGCGCTCGACATCGTCTACAACGCACGCAGTTCGTCACGCGACGGATGTAGAGCTCTACAGCTCTACAGCGCTCCAGAGCGCTCTACATCTCTACAGCTCTACAGCGCTCTCTCTACACTCTACATCCTCTACACCCTCCCTCAGCCAAGTCGTTGATCTGATGCTTGTAGGGCTTGAGAGTGGCCTGCCATGTCACAGGAAGGACTGTGGTTGCAGGAGAGTACCACCAACCATCACTTTAGTTGGTTAGAATTTATAGTACCCCACCTTCACATAAACGCACAAACAAACAACCACCTTCACCCTGACAAAGATTCTTTTTTAGTTTCCCTTAAGTAGGGTATGTAGGTATGTAGGTAGGTAGGTAGGGGCAGGGGAGGGGCAGTTTTTTTTCATAATATCGTCAGGAGGTCCCAAGCAAAAATAAAAAACAAACCACGGCTCAAACTCCGCAAAAAAAGACGGAGTCGCCCGCCTCGCAACCCACACGACATGGAGGAAAGAGTAGTAATGGTCACGGGTGGCAGCGGTCTGGTCGGCAAGGGCATCCAGGCCGCCCTAGCCAACGGCCGCTGTGGCGAGACGCCCGCCAACGAAAAGTGGGTCTACCTCTCGAGCAAGGAGGCAGACCTGCGGGACCGGCGCGTGCCACGCACATTGCCACACACACTCCCTGCCACGCACGCACGCGACCCCGCGGTGAAGTAAGCTCGTGTGTCTGAGCCTGCAAAAGTACCTGTGCGTTGTTCGCAGGGAGTCGACGCGACTTGCATACGAGAAGCATCGGCCCACGCACGTGATCCACCTCGCGGCGATGGTGGGCGGACTCTTCAAAAACATGAGCCACAAGGTCAGTAGTCACCGCTTTGCCATGTGCTGCGGTCAGCGGTCAGCCTGACCGCTCTGCTCTCTCCTGCGCGCGGCGCAGGTGGAGTTTTGGCAGCAGAACGTGGCCATCAACGACAACGTAATGCACTGGGCCAAAGAGTACAAGGTGGCTCGGTAAAGTGCACCTTCCGAGCTTGCGAGACGCTTCCGACACTCGCGCGGCGTGTCGCACAGGTGCAAAAGCTTGTCTCCTGCCTGTCCACCTGCATCTTCCCGGACAAGACTTCTTACCCGATCGACGAGACGATGATCCACTCGGGCCCGCCGCACCAGGCGCCTTCCGAGACCCGTCCGAGACCCTTGCGTGACCAGTCGCTGCCCCAGCCCACGCTGCCCCCGCCGAGCCGGACGACTGCTAGCAACTGTGCCACCGCACCGCCCCGCCGCCCTCACCCCCGCCCACTCCCTGCCACGCCAGTCCAACGAGTCGTATGCCTACGCCAAGCGCATGATCGACGTGCTCAACCGGTGCTACAACGAGGAGTACGGCTGCAACTTCACCTCGGCGCGCCGCCACGCCGCTAGTCTCCTCCCCTCCCCACACAGCACGGCGTGCATGGCCCGCCCTTTCGCCGCTTGTACCAGCAGTCGGCGGCGCCTCGCGCTTGCACCGCTCCACCCCCTCGTTCGCCCGCGCCCGCACGCCCGCGCGCTGCGCTACAGGTCGTCCCCACAAACATCTTCGGTCCGCACGACAACTTCT